TACAAACATATTAACGCCAAACATTCGGTAGAATTTATCGAATATTGTAAAATTTATTGAATATTCGAAAAATCGAAAAAACGAACTACAAACATATTAACGCCAAACATTCGGTAGAATTTATAGAATATTGTAAATATATATATATATATATATATATATATATATATATATATATATATATATTGTTTTAATAGTTTATATAGAACAGCCAGAAATAATAATTGAAAATAATTGGGTTGCGTCAAACCACGTTGAAAAAAATTTCTATCATTATTTATTAAACATCCAGGTCTTTTTTTAATGATTTATAGAGAATAGTTGGAAATCATTTACTACGAAATAAATTGCTATTACAATATAATTGATTTGTTTTAGTGCCACTTGAAACGAGTTATAAATGAAAAGAATTTTAGTTTATCGAATTTTCTCGAGACTGGTTGTTGGTTTACATTTAAAATCAGAAAAATTAGCAAATTAGCAAATTTATAAAATTTTTACAGATAAATTTAAATTCGAAACAATTGGTAATAAATTTCTAATACTTTTTCAATATTTGAGCAAAACCTTTCATTGCAGTTTTAATAACGATTTTCAGAAATCTAAATATTTGTTATTCAACATTAATCAACTTTATTTCAAATTGTAACTAATGATATTGTTAAAATTTCAATCATTTAGAAGATGGATGTTTAAGAGCTAGCTCAGATGGCAGCGTAGAAGTGTCATCCGCATTTTGCGCTGTCGTTACGAGATGACCTGGTTCGAATGCTGTCCGTCCGAAGATCAAAAACTATCATACACCATGTGTGTGATGCGGTATCTGGGTGCTTACAAAATGTCTGTGTGTGCTTGTGTTTGTGTGTGTGTGTTTGTGTGTGTGTGTGTGTGTGTGTGTGTATGTGTAAGCCTTTTGGTGTGGGTGTGCGTGTGAATGGAAGAGTACACAAATTTTATACATGGATTAAAGTGCAAGCAATTCTGTCTTAGTCAGAGTTATCTTTGTCGTTGAACTGCAGAAGCGATCGTTGATGCATCAGTTGTTTGCGCGTCATGTAGCAACTCCTTCAAGAAGGGAAGTCCCGTTCCTGAGAACTGCTTCAAGTACGTCAACACGTCAGTCACCTGCGCCAAAAGCTGTACGGCCAAGTTGAAAGTGTTTGGGAAGAAGGATTCTTTCTACAATGTTATCGATAGAGGTTAGACTTGCAAAAAATGCAAAAAAATGCAAAAAATGCAAAAAAAATTATTTTTTTTTGTAAATTTCAAGATACAGTCTTCATCAAATGATCTAACTTATTTTTATTGAAACTAAACGTTAGTTAACTTCATCAATTGTTTTAATTTGAAAATGGCTTAATTAATATTATTTTTTATGGCAATCCCACCAGTAAAGTCGGTGACCATTGAAAAACAATGCAGCCCTGCTGGAAGTCAACAAAGAGTTCTCTTCAAAGATATGGGTAGATACGGGGTGTTCGAAATTTTGAGCCAACAAAATTTTGGAAACCGCGTGAAGTTTTCAGATTTTGCGACAAATTTCAGCTTTTTTCAACCTCTGCCTCCGTTCGTACGACATTTTAAGAATTGGGATAGAGTAGTGTGTAAATAATTGTTTGTATTGTACTATATATATATATATATATATATATATATATATATATATTATGTTATGTTATAGTATATCATATTACGTAAAGTTATATTTTTTTCATATATATTTAATAATTAGTGTTACATCTTCAAAATCAGTCACAGTAGAAAAAGGAAAAAAATGAAATATACACGCTTCAAATCATGATCAATTTCATCATTCGTTTAAAGTGAATTGCGCGGCTATTACAGCTTAGAACCATGTTTCACCCCTCATATTGCCCCTATGATAAATTAAATAATTTATTGCGATTTGAAGGGAATTATTGAGAAATCGATTAAATTTTGGCTCTAATAAATGCCTAAATGTTTTCAACTGCATTGAAAGTTGTTTATCGTTAATCTTTGGTGAATTGTTTGGTGAATTGATGAACTGGTGAATTTGTGAAACCTTAATGATAAACATTTAATGGTAAAGTTTTAAATTCACGCTATTAAAATTGTTTACAAAAAATGTATGAATATTATTATAAACAATTATTATCACCATCAATTTTAAATTTAATTAAAAAAAATTAATAAAATTGTTTGCGGTTTTTAATTTTCATCTAACAACTCGCTACATGCACAGGCTAGATAATGTAACGCTGTAATTTCAGCTCAATTTTTCAAAAACAGTTCAAAAACATGCTTCAATATAAAATAACTTTGAATAAACAAGCAAACTCCTTTAGAGACCATTAAATAACAAATGTAAAATGTCAACATGAATTCAATAAAGCAAATTACGATATTATTTTGTTTAATAAATTCAAAACGAATTTGAAATTAATTTAGTTGTCTATTTTTATTAAAACATTTCATCGAATCGTTTTTAAAACATTTCCATAGCGTTAAAGTTAAGCAAGCGCTCTGATGACAGGAACCTCATTAGAAATCATTTCAACACTGTTCATTAAAAATGCCACAATTTCTTCATTCCCTTCGAGCCATGCATTGTCAAATTCACAATCCTCCAACAACTTTTTCTCTTCCTTTTCCAAGAACTCTAAATACCACGGAAACGTTTCAACGGCCGGTTTCACTTCAACGTGAGTGACACCTACCGAACTATTTTTCCATTGGAGTTCCGAGAACTTCTAACAATGGCATTTAATTTGATTTTTGTTATGCTAATGTCTGCAGTTCTTCTTCATTTCAGTTCAGGTTTGAATCCAAATTTTATAACTCCTCTCTAATTGTCATTACATTTAATCTGTTAGAAACATAAAATAATAAATATAAATAAATACTTTTACCTATGTCCTAAAATATTGAATTATACAGCTCACAATTGTTGAAATTAGCCTAATTAGCTAATCTTAAAATCATTTTTACAACCACAGCGGACGACGAAGTGGTTCAACCGTCGGAAGAATTGACAAAAGACGTCGAGACCTTCTTCAAAGATATGTCCGAAAAACACGAAAAAATGAAAGCCCTGTTGAGAGAAGGTACTAACCAGCTACTTTTTTTATTTATTTTAGTTCATTTTTCGTACCTTTATGATACTAAGAAACAAAACTGGGTTTATAAGTCATGTTATTCATTCTTATTGGTAAAGCTATTTATATCTATCCTATGTACTCTTAACATACGAATTTTACTTCGTAGTACAAGTTCTACATACACCGTGCGAACAAACATATTTAATTAAAATTAATGTGGATTAATTAAGCAGTTTTATTTAGCAGTTTAGTGAAATAAAAAATTCAATTTTATTCTAAAATTTCAGAGGCACCGATATTCGAGAAGGAAGCAAGCATGTTTGGAATCGCGAAAGAGTTAGTGGTTTCTCTGGAAAAATTGTTCCCCAGACCTACGTGTGTGTGCGACCAGAGTTAATTTATCCAAACTAAGTTCGGATTAATGACTTTCATTGTGGATATTCACGTTTTTATTTGAATAATGATTGAAAATATTGCTTTATTGTCAATCTATTCACTGAAATTTTAAATAACATAAAACTTGAAATGAATTAAAATGACGAAATCGTGGTCTAGATGTTTTCTTCCGAGTTTTCTTTTCATTAAAACCAAAGCAAGACGATAATTCAAATTGAAATCATTAGTTTTTTAATCATTTGAAAGATTGATCAGATTTTGATGAATGGCGCGCCTCGGATCGAATTTGTAAACATTATGACGTTTGGATATTGAAATATCTTTCTAGTCGCCAACATGGGAATGTTGGCGACTAACCCTAATCCTGTAACATTTACACACTGTGATTTTACCTGATTTTGCTTTTTCATTTTCCAATTTCCGATGTTATTTTCATGAAAAAAATCTCCAATTGCCACCGGAGAGATAACTTCTCTTCGAGATCTTTAAAAATTTGTAAAAATCAACTTTCATGTTTAGCTATTATCAATCCTGTAACACTTTGTTTTTTTATTTCCTAATTTAGTATTTTCAGCTCACATTTTGGGTTTATATTGTAAAAACTTTCCAATGAGAACATCACTACAATTAGATGAACACAAATGGTCTTTAACAACTCATTACCAACTATTGCTGCTTTTTATTTTGCTATATTGATCAGAAACTATTTCCAATAATTAAAAAAACTGCCCATTCTCGCTTCACAGACGACATATTCCGCATACTGACATGCCAACCGCATGAACAACAACTTAAACCCTGTCACTAATCGTGAGACACTGAAGCGCTCTGGTTTATATAACGCACGCTCTGTTCGACGTGGAAACGGTTGAACAAACAAGGTCACGAAAGGTCAAAAGTTTACTAGAGGTCAAGAGTTCATGAGTCATCTCGGTTGCGTGGCCAGACACGTGCACACACGTCAACAGGTGTGTTGCTTTAAATCATTCAAGCTTCTGCTACTACTTCAGCCGGGATCTAGTCGCGGCGTTTTTATCATCATCTTCGTGGTCGTCATCACCCTCTGGATCGTAATTATTTTTATTAACATCATTTTCAACAGCATCATTTCAACATCGTTTTCCTCATCACCAACCTGTTGAAAAAATATCCAACAGAGTGCTACTGGCAATTTTATATTTAATAATTTTTTTATGAGTAGGGCTACAGGCAGTTCAGAAAATCTTATCGGTCAGAACCTCATCATTACAAATAATTTAAATAATTTAATAAGATTGGCTTGAATGTTTCTTTTTTGAATATACATTACAAGCAAGCCGCATTAATTCAATGATAACGCCATGAACCTGTAATATTTTTCTAACTATTTTGTTGTATGCGTTGCTAACAATGGCAACTACTCTACATCACATAATAGGATTTTTTGTTATCCATATTATAATCATCGTTATCATGAAAATTGTTTTCTACTTTCATATAAATGTCATAATCAACATCAGTTTCGTCATCCGCATTACCTACTTTTTCTCACTTATTCTGTCCAAAATTCCAAACATCATATCAAATTAACGCCCCCAACATCCAGGTACATTCCCTCCAACCCTTTGCAGGCTCCTCCTCTGCCAGCATTTACACCCTATAAACGCCCCTGGTACTACAATCAGATGTAAAAATATTTGGATACAAACAAACAAGCGGACAGAGCGCCGTAATGTAATATGAACAAAGGCTTCGTTTCCTCAAGGAATATTGGGAAACATCTACATGTTTCGAATGCTGACGTTGTGCTGTTTTGTATTCTGTTGTTGGTTTGTATTTTGTTGTTGGTTTGTGTTTTTGGGTTGTATTTTGTTGTTTTGTATATTGTTGTTTTGTATTTTGTTGTCTTGTATTTCTCTGTTTTAAATTTTGTTGTTAAATTTGTATTTTATTGTTGGTTTGTAATTCCATGTAATGTATTTTCCAAACATTTCGGACGGATAATGTTTCGTTGGTTCTGCCTCAACAGCATCAGTTCAATTAACATCGTACGTAGAATGTTGTTGATTCATTGCTGATCTTGTCAATTATTTTCCTTTCATGGTTGTTTTTGTTACGGTAGTTGCTAATAAAATTTAATTTGCTGAAAAATGATTTATTGTTGTTGGTGGGATGTTTGTTTGTTGCGAGTGAGTTTAAGTGACCAAAATTTTTTTGTGTGTTTTAATTGATAAATTTTTTTGTTCATCGTGTTGAATGTTATTTTAAAATGTAACTAAGTCTCCAAATTAACGTCATTAATGTTATAATTATTACTGAATTTGCTACAAAAAAAAATTTTTTGATAATTATTATCAATATCACAAAACGACGTGTCAATCATTAATTTCATCGCCATCTACCATTTCAGCTTCCTTGCAATTTCGTCAACAAAAACATTTTAATGTTTTCCTATACAATGCTAAAAAGTTGCACCATCCAAATGCTTCTTACATTTGTTATGATTAGCGCATCGTGTTAAGCTATATATTTTTTTCTCCAATATGCAGCAGAAAGAAGCGTTCATAAATTTGCATATAAAGGTTTGTACTACAACACTAAGGTTCTAGCATCAACCCCACTCCTAACGAACATTAAGAGCGAACATTCCATGTATCAAATGAGTCAGTGTGGGTCATTAATTTTAAACAGAAAGTATTCGAACATGGTCCGTGCGCTGTAAAAATAAGACAAGATGATGCCTGAGCTAACACGATAGCATCTTATACTGTACCACAATGAATAAATAACATGAGTTAATAATAACAAATCAAATTATCATCAAATTATCTCAATCGTAATAACATGGCTAATATTATGACAACAAAGAAATGAATTGAATTCATGATGTAACTCGTCCATAACTCATTATGCCAAGCATGCCAAAGAAATATCATTAAAAGTGACGTAGCCGGAAGCATAGATATAAAATTGAATAGGAAGGAGAATAAACAAAAGAATGTTTAGGGAAGATAACATTTAAACGTGTTCACCTTTTATCGCCTAGAAGAAATTAAATTTGAAAATTGCCAACAATAGTAAAGGTTTTATCGTTCTACATGGAAAGAATTGCATTAAAATGGCAACGTCCTAAATATTATCTCTGTTTGCATAGCACAAATAATTTGAAATAGTTTAATTAATGGACTATCCATACATAAATTGAATTAAGTAGATTAATAATTGAAATAATTGTGTAATTGTGTGAAAATGGATGACGTTGTAATTAATTTGAAAAATTTTACTTTCACGCTTCAAAATTTGTTTGGAGTTTAAAAATAAATTAATTTAAAAAAAATTCTATAGAGACAAAAAACTCGTTGTTTATTTACAAAGAATTAAAAATTCATGTATACAAATAAAAAAAACAAACACAAAGCAACAAAGACAGATAAGCCAGAAGCATTTGACACTGACCTCCATATTGTAAAAGAACAATAAACAATAAAACAATTTATGTCGAGGCAATTGTCTTTCATGAACAACTGTAAAATAGTTGAAGTATAAAATTCTACAGGCGAATGTTTTTGTTCCTATTTTTGGATGTGAAAAATGTAAATGAATAAATTCATATTTTATAAAATTTAATTCAAAAAATCGGCAATTAATAACAAAAATAAATAGAAAAAATATCAACAATTTATAAATTTTCTTTTTTTTACGTGTTCAGTTTGACAGAACTGCGTTAACATCCACACGACACAACAAACATTCGAACATAGTAGGGACACCAAAATGTTTCACATTCTAGTAACGCCATCGCCAAGAATAACAATATTATTTTGACTTATTTAATAATTCATTAATTACTTCTCTCTCTCTCTCTCTCTCTCTCTCTCTCTCTCTCTCTCTCTCTCTCTCTCTCTCTCTCTCTCTCTCTCTACCATTACATACATACACATACCAGCATGAATACAAACAATCATATACATACACACACTCACACAAACACAAACACACACATGTATGTACATACTTACGCACGTACATACACATTGTACGCATGCAAACATATATTCTTACATACACTCATTTTCGTGTTAGATCCCAATAGACGAAAACGTACTGACAAAGTAGGCAGCCATCTATTGAATTATTTTTCAATTTTCTGGCAATTTCATGCGCCTAACTGTGTTCGTGTGTGTAACTGTGCGCGCGTTTGCGTGTGTGTGTGTTTGTGTGTGTGTGTGATTATAAACACGTATATAAATTCATATGAAATGTATGTATGGTAATATAAAATCTATATCTAAAAGTTATATAGATTGATGTACAAAGTGTCTTGTATATGTAGACGGACAAACCTTAAGAGAATTCTTTCATCGGAGCCAATCTTGCTCGTCATTATTTTCAGTTATAGGGCATATTTATTAGGCAAGAAATTTCAATCACAATTTATTCCCAACCAAATTTTCTGCTGTTGAATTGTTGAATGATTGAGAAATTGTAAACGCTGGAACTGAAATGGTTGGCTCATCTCGAAATGCATTGCAAATCATGTGAGGTGTAGTTTGAAAACGTTTCGAAATTAATTTCAAATTGTTATTGAAACTTTACAAAGAAGCATTCAGACAGATGCAAATAGACAAGTAACATTTTGGCTGGCGTTCGAATACAGCGTTAGTCGATTGCCAATGTTTGAATGTAAACCAAATCCATAGTACCCTATATCAAACTAATATTTTTTATAAAAGTAGATAAGATAGAGTATAAAAATATACAAGATGTTGATTATTTATGTGCATTTGTGTATGTCTGTGATTTAAAATTCGAATGTACTCCGTTTCATAAATGAGGGTACAGAAGTGTAGCCAATAGGGTCTTAACAAGAATATACATTATGGGGTGGGTTTAGCGAAAAAGACCCTTTTGGCTACACCTCTGTACCCTCATTTATGAAACGGAGTACATTCGAATATTATCTCTATAAAAATTTATAACTTTGGTTTTCAGATTGTTGCCTCTCTTTAACAAAAGCGCTAA